AATCCGACCAACCCAACTTGACCAATACTTGATTGGGTTGAGTTTCAAAATTTACACAGATTGTGTTGGAGTAAATTATGATCAAACCGATCATGTTGGGTTGAGTTTGGATTGAGATAAAAATCAACCGAACTCATGCCTACCCCTAGGTAAGACAGGTGAGTGGGTGGAAGAAGAACTTTTATATTTTTATTTATGTTGTTCATTTGAACTTTTTCATTTTATTTTATTTTTAGTGGAGTAATTCATTTGATGAAATAGCCCCTTGAAATAAAAACAAATAAAACAACAGCCCTAATGATGGATTCCGCCAAATGACCATTTACGTCAAAAATGAAAAGGCCAAAAAAAATGAGCGTACTTTGAGCAAAGGTTTGGGTCCATTTGTGCCAATTTTCCTATTTATTTTCATTGGCGGTGTACATATGTTTATTTGACAGTTAGATTATTCAACTAAGCTGGAATGCATTCTTATTTTTTGAACAATGTGGCAGTAGTGATGATAAATAGCAATATTCCATTCAAAACCAAGTGTCAACAGACTACCCTTTCAAATAAAGTAACAAATACCAATGTATATGAACTTAGCCCAGGTAGTCCGGTTCCTGATTTTTATAACATAGCCATAAACCAAGATACTTTCATCGTTTAAAATCAAATAAAACTAAACAATTATTTACTTTCACACAGCACCAAGTAACAGCATTACTTGCCTGCCCTGGTATCGAACCTTTTTACAATGCTTTCCAATTTTTCCGATCAGACAACCCAGGCACGTTTTTATAACAGAGCCAAATACCAAGATACATTCATGGTTCATAACCAAGTGTCACCAGACTACCCTTTCAAACAAAGTACCATATACCGATGTATGTAAACACTACTCGGTCATTAATTCGGTTTATAGTCTGGTTTTCAATTTTTCAGATTGATCTGGCGAATCTGATCCAGTTTATATGACAGCCAAATACCAAGATACATTCATGGTTCTAAACTTCTAATCTTATGTTGATACACACACAGACTACATCAAGCAAACCCCCATAATGGAGGTCCAAATTTGGCAAGAATGAAAAAATTGTTCATACCCCATAAGGGGAAAAAAGAAAAAAAAAGTCACTGTCATGTCTTCAACATTATGAACAATCAACATGAATGTGAAATGAAAAAAAATGATGGTTAGGCAAGGAGAGAAGTTTTATATCTTAGAAATATCTCCATTCATTGATATTCTACATGAAAGTCATTATTGCAGGGAACATAATCGACAATCAACTTCTTTTGATAAACAAAAGTGATATAAAAATATAAAAGAAAAAAATATATAGAAAGACAGAGAGAAAGGTGAGGAAGAATATACATCCCTCTTTCTACTTCCTTTGCTTACAACAAACCGACGGCGCAACTTAGATGCAATCTGTTCTCCAATCCTCTTAAATGATGGCCTAGTAACATACACCTATAGAAAAAGAGGTCCATTTATTAGAATCGAGAAGGGAGATAAAGGAAACGAAGAGAAGATATGTCAAATGCATTATGTCCCATTAGTATCTGCAAATTGCATAATATGATAACAAATTAATAACCACAGTAAGAGATGCCAAAGATAGCATCACACTGACCAGAAAAGCAGCTTGGCCAAATAATCCCTTGAAGTGCCAATGGTCTCACAAAATTTTTTATCAATATTTTGGTAATTTTCAGTACTCCTTAAAGATGAGTCTCCTTTGTCATCAGACACTATCTCGTCTTTGAAAAAAGTTTGCAATATATTTTGAGCAAGTTGATGGATAATTTCCTCCACCTCGTGTGATGATGGTCTCGATAGTTCAATTACCTGAAGCAAATTTTCCATATCAAGATTTATAAAAACATGAAATAAAGCATATGTATCTATCCACAATGGGAAGAAATGAGGTCATTACCATCTCAGATTCCAAGGACCTTAAGTACTCTAGCAAATCATTGTTACACTTTTTGATATGCTCCATTTGCAAATTTTCCTGTTTCCAGGCATGAAGTTCCTGAGACAAGATACAATGAGAAACACATAGCATAGAGTTGGCAAAATCTTCACATCAACATCAGAAAGCAAACGTTTATCACCTAATGCCATTTACATTTTCAATTTATGGTTTAGAGTAAAAATCAAATATAAAATTACATCACAAATAAAATTTAAAAAAATATATCTAGAAATTTACAATAGGTTATCAAACCAGGCATGCCATGGGTCATTCATCAAATCCAACAGATATCATAAAGGACCGATACCTAGAACTCCAAACCCATAGTAAATTTATCCTGGACCCCCCCACCCCCCACCAAAAAAAAAAAAATGGTGCCATAAACCAATTAGGTTCTGGGGAAGAGCCCTCCATTTTTATCTTGTGCATCTTAAATTTTAAGGCAGATCAAAGATGGGTTATAATGAACAATCTCCCAAGCATAAATATTATAAAGTAAATGAAAAAAGTTGGGAGATAAAATAGAGGCCAATCAGGATATTATATAAATAATCAAGCAATATCATTCAGTTTATACATCATAATCCATTTTCAGTATCATCTGTAGTGCCACACCACTGAAAAGGCTAAATCAGAAGCTTCAGAGCCATGTGAAATACAGATATCGATGTCCAGGAAAAATACATAGGCACGAATTGTCTAGCATGATGCCAATAATACGAAGTTTATTTGAGCTTATAAGCAATATTACTGGCGGCAAATAATTCTGATCAGTAGTATGCCAACCAAATTCTTGGCCACATATGAACTCAATCTTTTCTATTTGACCAACTGTATATATGTGACAACTCAGTTTGTGCAGGATAGTTAATCTCCAGAGTTCTTCTCAACAACTGTCAACGTTACTCTCAGCAACTTTCAGCAAAGAATACTATTTTGATCACTCATTGTTAAGTCGATTCCAATTAACAAGTTGACGACTCACAAGCTTGACCAAAATGGCTTTTATTTAACTGGTAATGATATAAAAGTCGCTCAGCCAGTTGCTTCACAATGTACCTCCTCTTTAACTGAGTTCACACTTCAAATAGTCAAGGAAGCTTTATTGAAGTAAGAGAGTGTAGCCACCGATAAATTTCAAATTTTAAGGCGAAATTTTTTCTCAAATTCTTCTAGGGATCACTTGGTCTAGCCTATGTTAACCACGTGGTATACCTTCGACAATTTATTTTGTGACAAATTATAGTAAAAGTTTAAGTTATGTTTTGTTGCCTAATTGTATTAGAGTTAGTAGTCGCATAAGTCGTGATTCGGTCTAGACTTCTAATTTGTATTGAATACTCCATATCATGAGATTAAATATTTAATTGTTGAAATTTTGAGAATTACTATATTGATATGGGATTCGTTTGGTATCTTATAGTTAATAATACATATTAAGCTCAAGAAGAAGTTAATTTGGATAAGGCCAATCAAGTCAGAGCAAATCCAAGAGAACTATGGTTAATGAATTTTAGAGGAATTTTATACCTTTAGTTATTAAAATCTGGCCAAGTGGGATTAATTTGAAATGTCTATGGGTTATCACGTTTGTTGGAGTGAAGTTTGACTTAGTTAAGAATTTGAATATCATTATCATTATGTTGATTGAGAATCACATTTGTTATCTTTAAGGATTAAACTGAATCACTTGAGTTAATCTTCAATCATCCGACTAGGTGGTGAGGAGATGGAGTTGTTAGGGGACTTATATGAAACCTAACATATTTAGTTGTCAAATCCTGATCCTAGATTCTTTCCCTTAACCTACGAAATATCCAGACGGAGGATCGCTTCCTAACCTTTTGGCACTTACTGTAAGAGTTTGAAACAATTGGTTAGTTAATTAATATATTTACTTGCGTTAGGATAACCATTTTCAAAGTCCAGTAGTATTAGGATTTCTATTACAACTTTTATATACCATGAGAAACCACCACCCACCATCTTATGTACTCATCAGTCCCTCACTCTATCTTCATAAACTTATGTCATCCCTTTTCTTCAGGAATTAAGATTTCAAGTAAAGGAGACACACGTTGCTCAAACCGTAAGTCTTATTTCAAAAGAGGTAGACTCAAACCCCCATTTTAATTAAATTCATGTTATGGTTGATCATGTTCGATTGTGATAAATAGTTTTTCTTTATGTTATATGTTATGATGCACCGACAAGGACAAGTTTGTCCGACATGTGTCGACGCGTGATTTTTCAAAAAAATATTGCTAGAATACGCAGTCGACAAGTTGATTAAATTATTTAAAATTCTTCATTTATATAGTATAAATTTAATTTTATACTAGTTATTAATTTTGTTGTTGAATTTTTTTTTAAAAATGAGTACCTATTTATTATTTAATAATAATTTTAAATTAAAAATATATAATATTTTTAATAAAGAAAGAAAAATAACTATGGTAAGAGTGTCCAATGTAGAGATGGCAACGGGGTTGGCCGGCTGGCCGCCAGCCCCGTTTCCTGCCCGTTTTTTATTTTTATTTTTTCAAAAATTTCCAATTAAAATACAAATTCAAAATTTTAAAATTCAAAGTAAATAATAATCAAACTAACTATATCAATATTCAAAGCAAGCACTTGAAACAAACAATGTCCAAAACAATTTTTTTTTTATTCTTCACGGGGCAGGTTCAGTGCCGGGCATCTCCGCCCCGCCAACCCATCGGGGCGAGTTTTTTTGCCATCATCGTCCGATGAGTGTCGGTATCCGACATGTGTCAGACACAGACACGCTACTTTAGTTGAAGTGTATGTGTATGTGCAACATATGTTATATATGACTCCTTATAGAGTGAAATTATAAATTGGTGGCGTAGTAGTGCACCAAATGTTGATATAT